TAAAAAATCCTCTTTAGATTTTCTTAACTTTATTTCCAGCCCTAAAATACCCCAAATCTTAAATGTAATATGAAAGTTTTGCACATTGGCAATACAAGAATTAATTTACAATCAGAAATTAAATTTTAAGATTCATGTCGTGAAGGAATGTATATGACCTTCCACCTTGGATGGCAAAGTTTAATCTGATCTGACAGCACTCTGTTTATTTATTGAGATGACTCTCATCTATGTCGACAATAGATTTTAGCCCAACTTCTGTAAAGAAATGGCTGCTTCATAGCCATTTTTGTTTGCTTAGTTTTACTAGCTTTGACAGTCAAATTGAATCACATTGAAATGGAAAGTTAATCAGGTGTAGATGTACAGTATATACAATTATTACTTTTTGAAAGTGTCATTAACGTCTATTTAGATATTTTGCTAACAGGCTGACAACAACTTAGACACTAGTAATTAACTAAAATCTCACTATTTATGTTTGCAGTTKATAAATGTTAATAACAGAAGAATATATATATCTTGGGTTCATGCTGTCAGCAAAAGTCAAAAATCAGTTTGAGTCACTGCATTTGTTTTTATTTTTATTTTTTTGTTTCTCTTACCATCTCGTGCTTTTTTACTTTTCCAGTGAAACCCTGAGACGTGATAAACACGATCAATGTGACTCCATGTGTGGTTTAGTCTTTATACACACACACACACAACAGCTCACACACAGCTGAAGATGTATGGGGGATTACAAAGGTTGTCATAGTGATCAGTCACTTAATGTGGCAGGTTATTTTCTTTTTTAAATATGTGCATAATAAGCAACATCACCAACCTTGATTACAATTACTTCTGAAAAACATTTTTAATAAAAATCTGCATTTTTTTAATCTTTTAAAACATGGAAGGCTGGGTGTGGCAAAAATGTTGTTTACGTTTCAGCTGCAGGATAAAAGTACAGGAACTTCACTAACATTGTGCATTGTTCTATTAATTTCATAATTAGGGACACTTTAAATCTTCCCAAGCAATCCTATTTATTGGATCAGCAGTCCTAAAACTCCAATAAGGCTGTGATGAAAATTTGTTGGGGTATTAATAATATTTTKTTTGTTTTCATCCCACACTCAGTAACAAGTGCTTAAATTGTTCTTTTGTCTGATTAATGTGTGGCCACGTTATAATAACTCATGGTCACGAGATACACTGTTTTTATTTTTAGCTGTTGAAAGGTACCCCTGCTTTTTATAGTATACATTTTTGGTGTATATTTATTCCAAATTATAGCCTATAACTCCATGGTTCAATCTAAATGGTTTGTTTTTCATACTACTAATATTTACAAGATGAAAATAAATTCCTCTTTTGTGTTGGGAAGCATTTTTTTTTCACGGTGTTCCTGAATGTGACATAACTCCGACTCCTCCAAGGCATGAGGTGGGAGATGAGCTTGTTTTGAGTTGAGCTAAAAAAATGAACTCCAGTCTTATAACTTCAACAAAGAATGCTAAGAATGAACCCATGAAACGCATGACTGAAGTAAGTCATCAATTCCTGTATTAAAAGGAATTTCAATTAATTCAAACTTGTCCATATTAACAATCAGCAGTCTCTGCATAGAAATACTGTACCTGCAATAATTATCTTGGGGTGGACAAGCATTATTTTTTGTATTCAATGTCACTGGACAGGCTCGTTTTTATTTTCTGTTTCTTTTTAAAGAAGGAACTGGCCCAGTGTTTACAACATGTGAGTAAAGACAAATGAAGGTCTCACACTGTTGGTGGCAAACAGGGTGAATCCTGGGCATGTTGATGTCGATAACTTCTTTCCTCACATAGGCCTCAAACACAAGCAGACATGATTATGACATGACTGAGTTTTGGTTCAGCTTTATGGAGCAGATTGGCATTTTCCTTTATCCCTTCTACTGCCAGAAACCCCCTCCACCCCCCCCCCCATCCCCTTACTTAAATATCATGCAGTTCAAGCTGTAGGAAAATGTGTTGTGGAAAACTCATTGTCCAAGATCAGCACCGTGTGCCAGACAGGCAAATGACTGGTGCTGCTGCTAGTCGTGCAGGATTTAGCACCTAATAAGATCCCAAAAGTCAGCTGAGACCAAATCACTGCTGTGAATCTGTTCATTCAGAACATGCCTCAGCACAGTTACCAGGAAATAAAAYAGTTTGTTTTGGCTTTGTATGAAAGCTGCCAATCAAAATGTTTTTGTGCAGACTCTGGTGAGATTCACACTGAGAAAAAAAAATAAAAGGAGGCTATTTGTATCTCTTCTAAATCTTTCARCAAATTATTTTTGAACTGCGGGGAAGAGTATTCTAACTTTGGGAACCAATGAATAGCAACCTGATAAAATCAATCACTAAATTGATATAGCATGTTATCATCTATGACACAGTAGTCTCATTATTTGCCAACAGATTAAATACATAATGTACATATGTCAATACATTATGCCTTTGTAATATGTGTAAATGTGTCCCTACAAACGTGTTTTTAATTAGAACATGTGGCTATTTACAGTCTAAAAACATAAACTCCTATTTTAAAACTCCTTTTTTGTACTGTATGTCCTTTTGTTGATGTTTTTTTATGAAAGCCTGGACCAAAAATATACCTACTCTGCTGTCTGTCTGGAATGATTTCCCTCTTTTATGATGGGTCCTAATGATGCCTTGATGATGCAGCAGCACAGTTGCTACAGCAGAGCTTCAAAAAGGTACTTGTCATTCGGCTCGCCTTCATGTTCRGTCCTCACGAGCTGTTTTGTGAAAGGGAGCCAGGCTATAAGTAAAGTGCAACATGTTCTTACTATACTTTGATTCACACTAAATGACTTACAGGTGTGAAAGCATCCCAAGGAAATGCTAATGCGGCCCTTCATCTGYTTGCACACTAGCTATAGAAACCTGAAGAGGTGATTAAATGTCAATACTGTGTTAATAGCTCTGTATATTTTTTCCTAAGGGGGCAAGAAAATAATTAACAGTAAAAAAGAAAAAAAAGTCAGAATGCAGATTTTTGTGGATGCTGTRCCTTACTAAGTTAGACCACTGTTGTAACTGTGACTACTAACAAGGGCAAATGTAGCAAGCCATTTCTAAGTAATAATTCCAAAGAGGACGGGTTTAAAAAAGGCAGATTATTACAGCTAACACAGGTGTTTGTTTCCCAGCAGAGGACTTTGCCAAGGGAGGTTTCASTGGTTGAAACAATGTAAGATTAGAAATGTCAGGTACTGTCAATAATGACTTGCTTACTTGTATTGATATGCTGACAWCCTGAAGAATGGCTTGTTTGCTCAAAGGCTTACTACGAATCGATGCTTTTGTTTACGTTCATGACATTATGTTTATTGGTCATCAAAGATGTGYTGCTGCATATTTCTGTCCAGACATGTATTTCTGCCATTAGCACAGAACTGATGATGGAAGTTTAGAAGATTTTTTTGCTTTTTTTTCAGTGAAGAATTACAATAAATTTATCAAAATTTACA